CAGTGAAATTTAGGTAATATTGCCCAATAGGAGTAGCCTTTCAATTCCTTCTGCATTTCCAGGAACCAGAGCCAAGAATCCAAGTGCTCATTAAAGTGGCATTGCAGAAATACCTTTAAATTCAATACTCAAACAGGTGTCACTTGATAATGCAGAAGAAATTGGAGGAGATTTCATGAAAACAGTTGGAAGTCATGAGGTATTCATTAGATATCATTTAAATAAATATGAAGTGACTTCATAGGTGTTAATCATTGAAATGTGTTTTTAATGGGGAATTTGATTGCAAGTAAGTTACTGAATCCCTTCCTTTAAAACAGCTAGAGAAAGACCATTCTTCATTTATTAAAATAAAATCTTTTTACTTGGATTTTACCTTTTTTAAAAGGGTTTAAAAATTCAGTGAACTTCCCCTTTGCTTAATTTTCAAATGGAAAATGTAAACCCGTGCTTCAGTGGAAATATTTTCAGAGAATCAGTAGTACACCTAGTTGGGAATTGTTATTATGCATATTATTTACAACTGTCTTTTATCTGTTAAAACTCTAAACCAAAATCTATCTATGCATAGGGCCAAGATTCCATGGAATTCTTTTATGGTTTAGTTTGATTTTATTATTATTTTATAATAATGTCCTGCCACAGCAACAATTGTTTTCACTGCATGCTAGTGAACCAGTAAAATCTCAATTTTTAAGAGATTTTTTTATGCTTATAAACAATTTTAAATTAATAAGAGAAAGATTTCATTTGTGATTTTAATATTGTAAATGGTTATACATGAATTTTATTAAATTATCTTGAAATGCATCAACCTTTGGTATACTATCAGGGTTCTTTGGACTCAGTTTTGGTTTGAAGTTGTTTGGTAGGAAGGATTGTATTAAATGACTTTTATTCTTTTTTAAAGTTTCAATGAATGTGTTTTTTAATAGGGAAAAACATTGTATCTTGCTATTAACATGTGTCCATCGGAACTTTTTATAAATCGAACATATACTATGGAATCTTAGTGATTGTATTTTTCCTATATATCTTTCATCATTTTGACCTTTTATGATTTTGGAAATTAATTCATCATTTGTTTCCAACTGTGGGATATAAAGACTAAAATAATAAGCCAAAGGAACTTAATGAAAGTGCCTAAAAGAATAATGCAGTAGTGAAATGTCATCATTATTGTATTATCTTCAACTTTTTAATAGCATAGCCCATTAATACTGTATTATCTTTCAAGAGTGTAAAAAGAAAATGTCTGGAGACTATCTTTGCTGTCTTTTGGTTTTGAATTTTTAGCAAGTATGGTAGAGAATTCAGTATTTTCTATCTTCCGTCCCTAATGTTAAAGAGAAGAAAGTTGGCATACGAAGATGCTTCTATTAGATGAATTAGTGGATGAATGCAGAGACTGATAGTAGCATTCCAGACACAATTGATGATGGTGACACTGAGTGTAAAAGCAACATCTCCAGCTATGTCTTCAGATGACAGTATCCTAGATGAATTTTCTCAAACTTAAGGGTCAGTGAGTGAAGAGTATAGTTCTTTCCCTGCCCCCAGCTTAATAGATATGTAATTTATGTATCACACTTTATAAGGTGTATAATGTGGTGATGTGCTATGTACATGATTACCAAAGTAAGGTTAGTTAACATATCCATCACTTCACCTAGTTGCCATAACAATATAGTTCTAAAGCAAAAAGGAAACACAGTATTTTCTCCTGCGGTATTAAGTTAGTTGCTTAATAGGCAGGACTTCATCACTCAGCATTTTGTGACAGGAACCTCACCTGCTCTGGCTTGCTTTTATGATGCTGACACACCCACATTTTTTGAAACAGTTCAGAAGTTGATAAGTACACAAGGCCGGTGTGTAATTAAAAGAAACTGGAAGAAAATAAATGACCTGGAAATGATATAAGTGGTATTAATAAATCTAAAAACAAAAAATATTTTGTAATTCTGTAACAAGGAAGATTTCTATCCTTCTGTCCTCAGTGTAATTTTGAGTTGTCAAAGTTTCCAAAGTTAGCACATTTTGAATTATATTAATACAAATACAAAAAGAAGTCTAGAACCTTTTAGACATGTTTTTGAAATCTAGAATCGATATTTACAAAGTACTTACAGGTTCATGCATGACAGTAGTTAAGCTATCAGTTCCAAAATGCCTTTGCCCATTTCAGATATGTTGTCCTTCAAAACCAGGAAAATATAGAATTAAGAATTGGGTTTGCTATGTGTAAATTCTCATGAAAAATTCTAGTGAAGTTGTTTTCCATTGTCTCTTTACTATTCCATAAATTATTCACAAACTGACTTAAATAGTAATGAAATGTTCATTGGACACAGATGGTAAACGGTGATGACTACTATTCTTGGTATACTGCAGGTTAAATGAATTTGTTAAAATTATAAAGAGTTGATTTTGATTTAGAATTATAGTTCCAAAATCAAAATTAAGTCATTTCTTGGTATAGCGTTACACTAATTTTTGTGTTAAAACCAGAAAATATTTTTCTAAGAATTTAATGGAATCACCCTATACAAATGGCAACTAAGTTGAAACAGATGTTCTTTATCCAGCCTGTAATTTATCACTGGGTAGGTTTTATATTTTCCCCCATTCACATATATAAATATGTATGTATTTTCAGTGTTCCTTAAATCTTTCTTCATTTTGCCTGTCATTCCTACCAACCTAATGCTTCAAGAAGGTATTAATGTTAGTTTCTAAACTACATTTTTCTTTCTAAAGCTTTCGAGAGTTGCAAAATTTGTGAGTCCTTCATTTGTTTTTGTTTTTTCCTATTTTCTTCTGCCCCTCAGTACTTTTACTCCCCCTTTATTTGGTCCTTCTTACCTTCCATAAACCAAATGTTTTGGCTAATTCTGTTCCCTTCCCACACAAATCACTTAAGTATTTGTCCTACAAGTCAAGTTTCTTCCTTATTTTGTTTATGAAGAGAGTGTTGAATATTTTGAAAATGATGTGTATACAAGCTCTAATAAAATCGCTATGGAAGTTAAAAATAAACCATTAGATTCACTGACAAGGCAGTGAATCACAGCATTTTATGAAATATTCTAGTTGCTAAATATATTGCTTGTAAATCTCCAAAGAAACCTAATTTTTAAATGTGTGTTGACGCTGAGTTATTTGTAATTGACTGTGCTCAGGTAGAGTACATCACGTGGCAGCGTTAAGTAACATGTATATAAAAATCAAGCAGGCCAGCCATATGTTGGAGATTCAGAAATAATATGATTGCCTTTCCACAAAAAGAAAATGCTGGGTTAATACTAGCTTTAAATCAAATTATTTTAACCTTAGAAAGTTGAAAATACAGGTTTCTATGAAAAGCTCTTTATCTTGCTTGCTTCATGTAATCGGTGCTGTTTACAGAATTTTCTTTTCAAAGAAATTAATGAAAAATAACCACTTTAACATTCCTCTTCAATTCTATCCTAAATTTGTTTCCTGTCCAATTTTCTATGGGGTAAAGTGATAGCTTAGTGTATATACATAGTCTTTTATGTGTTACAAGGCTTTCAAGGTGGCTCAGTGGTAAAGAATCCACTTACCAATGCAGGAGATGTGGATTTGATCCCTGGGTCAGGAAGATCTCCTGGAGTTGCCAACCCACTCCCATATTCTGGCCACGAACGTTACATGGACAGAAGAGCCAGGCAGGCTTATACAGTCCATGGGATTGCAAGGAGTAAGACAGGACTGAGCACACAATCATATTTTCTAAGCTAAAAATGGTGCAAGTTCCTTAATTCAGTTCAGTTCAGTTGCTCAGTCATGTCCGACTCCTTGTGACCCCATGAACCGCAGCACGCCAGGCCTCCCTGTCCATCACCAACTGCTGGAGTCCACCCAAACCCATGTCCACCGAGTCGGTGATGCCATCCAGCCATCTCATCCTCTGTCATCCCCTTCTCCTCCCCCATTCAGTCTTTCCCAGCATCAGGGTCTTTTCCAATGAGTCAACTCTTCACATCAGGTGGCCAAAGGATTGGAGTTTCAGCTTCAACATCAGTCCTTCCAATGAACACCCAGGACTGATCTCCTTTAGGATGGACTGGTTGGATCTCCTTGCAGTCCAAGGGACTCTCAAGAGTCTTTTCCAACACTACAGTTCAAAAGCATCAATTCTTTTGATGCTCAACCCCACATCTAACTCATTTGATGAGTTCATGTCACAAGGATCTCTTTTCCTTTTTTCATACTTCTCTTGTTCCTTCCAAAGCACCTAGTAATGTAAGGAAGCTCATTCCAGCCCCTCATAGAGCTGTGGTGCTGTAGAAGAGACTTACCATTCATACAACTTTGCAGAAAGGTGTTTATGAAAATTCAAAACCTTGGTGGGCTTGTAAGACAGTTACAGAACATTAAAGTATTTTCTCTAACTGATTAGATCTTTTTAACAATATGGATTAATCCATAGGATTTCCAGTAGAGATTTCCATTTTGATAGGAATGACAATAAACTAATAAGGCAGCTCTGCAATGCATACATTATGTATATTGTATATATACACACATAGACACAAGTGCTGTGTTTTTTGCCTACAGGTATCAGAGCATAATTCTAATTCTTCATCTTCTTAACTGTTTTCTCTTTATTTTTTAGAACACTGATATATGCGTTTACTGGGGAACAGAAGATGAAGAAGGAAAAGCAGTGTATTCACTGAGGATTCGGTCTGCTTGCCACGGCAGCTCTGTATCTAGAGGATTTCTGCTGTTTCTTGTTTGGGAGTTCCCAGCTCTGAGGTCAGACTCCACCACAGTCTGCCTGCCTTTTGTCTCATCATTGCCAGCCAGCAGTAATCCTGGTCAGAATGGAACCGCATACGTCTGTCTAATTACTATGGAAGGTGATAAACCAACACTCACTTATTGAAGTTACATCTCTCCCCCCCACCCCTGCAGAAAACCATTCCTCAAAGTGAATAGAAACCAAGCCCTCGTGAGCACTTCTATTGAACATGACTCATGGAGAAGAGCTTGGCTCTGATGTGCACCAGGATTCTGTTGTTCTAACTTACCTAGAAGGATTACTAATGCATCAGGCAGCAGAGGGGTCAGGTACCGCCGTCGACAAAGCGTCTGCCGGGCGTAATGAAGACGATCCGAACTTTAACATTTCTGGTAGCGCGTTTCCCACCTGTCAGCGTAATGGTCCAGTTCTCAGCACACACACGTATCAGGGATCTGGCATGCTGCACCTCAAAAAAGCCAGACTCTTGCAGTCTTCTGAGGACTGGAATGCAGCGAAGCGGAAGAGGCTGTCTGATTCCATCGTAAATTTAAACGTAAAGAAGGAGGCTCTGCTGGCTGGCATGGCTGACAGTGCGCCTAAAGGCAAACAGGACAGCAAGGTACTGGCCTCTCTGCTTCAGTCGTTCAGCTCTAGGCTGCAGACTGTTGCCCTGTCACAACAAATTAGGCAGAGCCTCAAGGAGCAAGGATACGCCCTGAGTCATAATTCTTTAAAAGTGGAGAAAGATTTAAGGTGCTATGGGGTTGCATCGAGTCACTTAAAAACTCTGTTGAAGAAAAGCAAAGCTAAAGATCAAAAGCCCGATACCAGTGTCCCTGATGTCACAAAAACCCTCATCAGAGATCGGTTCATAGAGTCACCTCATCACGTTGGGCAGAGCGGAACAAAGGTCATGAGTGAACCCTTGTCTTGCGCTGCAAGATTACAGGCTGTCGCAAGCATGGTGGAGAAAAGGGCTAGTCCTGCCACTTCACCCAAACCCAGTGTTGCTTGTAGCCAACTAGCACTTCTTCTCTCCAGCGAAGCCCATTTACAGCAGTATTCTCGAGAACATGCTTTAAAAACACAAAATGCAAATCAGGCAGCAAGCGAAAGGCTTGCTGCCATGGCCAGATTACAAGAAAATGGCCAGAAGGACATGGGCAATTTCCAGCTCTCCAAAGGCATGTCAGGCCATCTTAATGGTCAGGCAAGAACATCAGCAAACAAAGTAATGGCTAGCAAAAGTACAGCGTTTCAGAATCCAATGGGCATTGTCCCTTCTTCCCCCAAAAATGCAGGCTATAAGAACTCCCTGGAAAGAAACAATATAAAACAGGCTGCTAATAACAGTTTGCTTTTACATCTTCTTAAAAGTCAGACCATACCCAAGCCGATGAACGGACACAGTCACAGTGAGAGAGGAAGCATTTTTGAGGAGGGCAGCACCCCTACAACTATTGATGACTACTCAGATCACAATCCCAGCTTTACCGATGAGAGCAGTGGTGATGAAAGTTCTTACTCCAACTGTGTCCCCATAGACTTGTCTTGCAAACACCGGATAGAAAAACCCGAACCCGACCAGCCTGTTTCTCTGGATAACTTAACTCAGTCCTTGCTCAACACATGGGATCCAAAAGTCCCCGAAGTTGACGTCAAAGAAGATCAAGATACCTCAAAGAATTCTAAGCTAAATCCGCACCAGAAGGTCACCCTTCTTCAGTTGCTGCTTGGCCATAAGAATGAAGAAAACGTGGAAAGAAACAGCAGCCCTCAGGAAGCACACAGCGATGAGGCAAAGTTCAGCACACAGAATTACACCCGCACGTCTGTAATAGAAAGCCCCAGCACCAACAGGACTACTCCCGTGAGCACTCCACCATTACTTGCATCCACCAAAGCCGACTCTCCCATCAACCTTTCCCAACACTCTGTGGTCATCAAATGGAATTCCCCACCATATACCTGTGGCCCTCAGCCTGAAAAGCCAGCGAATACCGCCTCGAACCACCTGATGGACCTTACAAAAAGCAAAGAATCGCAGGGGGAGAAAGCCATCCAACATGAAGGTGCACAAAACTCGGCCACTTTCAGTGCCAGTAAACTGTTACAAAATTTAGCGCAATGTGGAATGCAGTCTTCCATGTCAGGGGAAGAGCAGAGACCCAGTAAGCAGCTGCTGAGTGTAAACACAGATAAACCTCCAGGTATGATTGACAGACTGAACAGCCCTCTGCTAGGCAATAAAACAAGTGCAGCTGAAGAGAAGAAAGCATTCGGCAGTCACACAATAGGTCCTGAACCGGGACTCTCTGGGTCTGAAATAGAAAATCTGCTTGAAAGGCGCACCGTCCTCCAGTTACTGCTGGGAAATCCCAACAAAGGGAAGACCGAAAAGAAAGAGAAGATGCCCTTAAGAGATGAGAGCACTCAGGAACATACAGATAGAGCTTTAAGTGAACAAATACTGATGGTGAAAATAAAATCTGAGCCTTGCGATGACTTACATCCGCATGCCATGGGCATGCACTTGAGCCACGAGGCTCCGGGCACCCCCTTCTTAGGGATGGCCCCTCCCATGCAGAGAAGCGCCCCTGCCTTACCAGCATCCGAGGACTTGAAACCAGAGCCCGGCTCACCTCAGGACTTTTCTTTCTCAAAGAATGGTCTGCTGAGTCGATTGCTGAGACAAAATCAAGACAGTCACCTGGCTGATGAGCTGGACAGCAGTCACAGAAACAGTGAACTGACACTTGTAGAATCGAAGAACCTTTGCATGGTCCCTAAGAAAAGGAAGCTTTACACCGAGCCGTTAGAAAACCCCTTTAAAAAGATGAAAAATAACATAGTCGATGCTGCAAACAGTCACAGTGCTCCGGAGGTGCTGTATGGGTCTTTGCTTAACCAGCAAGAGCTGAAACTTAGCAGAAGTGATCTTGAGTTTAAGCATCCTGCCAGTCACAGTTCGGCCAGCGAAAGTGAACCCAGGAATTGGACCAGAGAGAGCAAAAGCTTCAACGTCCTGAAACAGCTGCTCCTCTCAGAAAACTGCGTGAGAGATTTGTCTCAGCACAGGAGTAACTCTGTGGCTGACAGTAAGAAGAAAGGCCACAGAAACAATGCGACCAACAGCAAGCCTGAATTCAGCATTGCTTCTCTAAATGGACTGATGTACGGTGCCGCTCAGCCCGGCGGTTGCATGGACAACAGGACATTTCCATACCCAGGTGTCGGAAAGGCCCCCCTGAGTCCTCCTTTCCCGGAGCACTTGGGCTGCACAGGGTCTAGACCAGAAGCTGGGCTTGTGAATGGGTGTTCCATGCCCAGTGAGAAGGGACCCATTAAGTGGGTTATCACAGATGTGGACAAGAATGAGCATGAGAAAGACTCTCCGAGACTGACCAAAACCAACCCAATACTCTATTACATGCTCCAGAAAGGAGGCAACTCTGTTACCAGTCGAGAAACACAGGACAGGGACATTTGGAGGGAGCCTTCATCTGCTGAAAGTATCTCACAGGTTACAATCAAAGAAGAGTTACTTCCTGCTGTAGAAACTAAAGCTTCTTTCTTTAACTTAAGGAGCACTTATAATAGCCATATGGGAAATAATGCTTCTCACCCGCACAGCGCAAACGGAGAAGTTTATGGACTTCTGGGAAACATGCTAACAATAAAAAAGGAATCAGAATAAAATGGACCTGCCATCCACCTTTGGATCTTTTTAAAACTAACGAATATGAACTTGAGATCTGTATAAATAAGCGCATGATTTGAGAAAAGCATGGTATAATTGAAACTTTTTCGTTTTGAAAAGTATTGGTTGATGGTGATGTTTAAATATGCAGACTACTTTTTGCTTCATGTTAAATGTCATGAGGAAGCTGCCGAACTAGCCATTGGTTTGACACCTTCTGTATGCATCAGACAACAACTGTGAGTAGCCCATGAGCGATAATTCTGTTTTTAATCACAGGTAATAGGCATAAATTAAAATACAAATCTCCATCCAGCAGTTTAATGCATTGCTGCCTTTATTAGGGTACTTGATTTTGCTTTTCAGAAGCAACCTACATAACACATTTTTTAAAGTCCACATTATTAAATAATAACTCTTTAAAGGGTAATTATTGAATTTAAAAAACCTAGTGCTGTTTCATTTCTCATTCAGTTCCAAAACAAATTACAAAAATACATGCTTACATTTTTCACTTTTGCTAAAAAAAAAATTATTTTTGACTCTTGAAAGGGGTTTTGTGATTCCTCGATGTGTCTGCCCTTCCCCAATCCTTTTCAATATTCTGTATCTCTTTAAACCTTGTACTACTTGGTAAAAATTGATTACAATTGGTGGAAGTTTGATAGATCTTAAAAAAAGGCAGATTTCCATTTTTGTATTTTAACTACTTTACTAAATTAATATTCCTCCTTTTACAGAATTAGGAAAGTTAACATTTATCTTCAGGTGGTTTCCTAAATAACTGAAATAAGTTGTTTTTAACAAGCAAAATGGCTTTTCTCTGGACAGTTTCACCATGTCTTGTAAAAGCCACTTCTCACCATCTCTGTGAGTCTGATGACCAGGGTTTCTTAAAGCTGGACTCAGACCACCTGCATTAGCATCATCCAGAGCACTTGCTTTAAAATGCAGATTCCCAGGCAGCATCTCTGATCTACCAAACAAGAATTCTCTGCTGAGTGGACCTGGGAGTCTTCCTTCTGCATCTTAATACACTCCCTAGGGGTTTCTTCTGCACACTGACATTTGGATTTTGAAAATTGAAACCACTGCTTACGACTTTTCTCAAAAAACAGGATTGTAAACAAACTATTTGATGCCTATATTTTCCCCAATGTAGTCACAACGTCAACTCAAAATTTGCAATATTGTACTTCATATTATTACTGTTATGTCTTTGAAAATCGGGTTCCGAATACTTTTTATGACAAAAAAAAAAAATCGGGTGGAGGGGACAACTTTCATATCTGGCTCAACATCTCAGGAAAAATATGTGATTACTTGTGTGTTCCAATGAGTAACATCTACTTAATTAGCCTTAGGGATGGAATAACAGGGCCACTTACCAAACTCAGGTGATTCCAGGATGGTTTGGCAACTCCTCCTGAATACATCCTTAACTTCTGTGAAAACCATTGTCCTAAGAACAGTGCTGACAAAGATGAAAACACGTTTCACACCCAAGAAAGGCGCTAAACTCAGATTGCTTAAACAAAAACGTAAAGGGCACATATCCATGGCAGAGTTGTACACAGTCACTCCATCTGATCTGTTATTTTAAAATAGTGATTAAAAGTAAACATTGATGTTTTCTTGGAAGAACTTAATATATTATTGAGCCACATGGGGTTTCTGCCTTGAAACACATCCATGTTTTTCAGTTCATTTTTTACCATCCACAATTCATTCACCAGATAGATTTGGTTTTAATTGTGAACCCAGGTAGCAACTGACCTACCAAAAAACTGTTACATAATCAACTATTAATTAGAAGAAAATCTATTTGAAATTGTTCTACTTGAAGCTATTTCTAAGATTTTTATATTAAAAATGGGCGTTATTTCCTATGATCTAAAACCCTAAATGATTATTTTTTTTCTCAGAATGATTTGTAAATATTACTGAATATGTTAAAAAATAATAGGAGTGAATATTATGCCATGTCATGAAAATTTCACTGGCCAGTGAAGATATTCAACTGCATCCCATCTTTATTCTCTGACAGTCTTACTGTCTACACTGTATAAGCTTTTAAAACAAGTCATTTTTTTCTGAAAGTTCTGGAGCCTTAGAAGTATGCTAGAAAAACTGCCATTGTTCCCCCTTGGTTAGGGGAAAATGGGCTTTTACAAGGGAGTGAAATTTAGGTCAGGAAAAAGAAGATCAAGGGCCAACATTGTATTTTTTGTTTGTTTGTTTCCTTCCTTTGGTTGGTTGGTTGTTTTTTGGTGGTGGTTATTGTCAGCAGTCAAAGAAATGAAGATATGTCGTATATAGATAAACCCGACCAAGAAGAAGGCTGTTCTGATATACTAGAGAAGTGTCCCCAATTTGAGTTTAGTATGATCTTAAAGAAGAGTGGTGAGAAAGGGCATACATCCCTAAATGCACTTCGTTTATGCATATGTAGATACAAGGATGCACATATACACATTTTCAAGGACTATTTTAGATATCTAGACAATTTCTTCTTAACAAAGTCACTTGTGAAAGGGTACTACAGCTCTCATTGACATCAGTAAGGTAGCATTACCTGTTTGCTCTCTGCTGCATCTTACAGAAGAGTAAACTGGTGAGAGTATATATTTTATATATATATATATATATATAATATGTATATATATATATATTGACTTGTTACATGAAGATGTTAAAATTGGTTTTTAAAGGTGATGTAAATAGTGATTTCCTTAATGAAAAAATACATATTTTGTATTGTTCTAATACAACAGAAAAGCCTTTTAATCTCTTTGGTTTCTGTATATTCCATGTACAAGTGTAAATATAATCGGACAGGTTTAAAAATTGTGCATGTATGTATACAGTTGCAAGTCTGGACAAATGTATAGAATAAGCCTTTTATTTAAGTTGTGATTACCTGCTGCATGAAAAGTGCATGGGGGACCCTGTGCATCTGTGCATTTGGTAAAATGTCTTAAGTCAGATCAGATGTTCACCCCAACATAACAGTATTTCCATTTCTGGACGCGACTTCTGTGGTTTCAGCTTTGTGGAAGAATGCTTTGAATCCAAGGGTCTTAAAACTTTTTAAATCAAGTCAACCACTTTTCAAACTAAAGAGTTCACACAACTACTTTCATGAATTTTTTAATCCCATTGGAAACATGTGCCAGGAGTTTTCCAGGGTTCTGGAATACAGGCACACTACCGTTCCTGGTATGAATTCTGGGGTTTACACAACCAATTTTGATGCAATCTGCTCAGTAATATAATTTGTCATTTTTATTAGAAATTTAATTTCTTCATGTGATGTCATGAAATTGTACATACTGCAGTGTGAATTTTTTTGTTTTATTTTTTAATCTTTTAGTGTTTACTTCCTGCAGTGACTTTGAATAAATGAAGGAAAAAATTCATTGTCTCTGGTTTGAAATGATTGTTATTTTTTGGGCTCTCTCTGATTTTCAGATTTTTCATAAACATAAAAAGTCTCTGGTCATGAGAATAGCAAGTCTTCAAGAATGCTTTGCCATCCTTGGAAAAATAAAGGGGGAAAAAAAACAAGAAGAAGATGGCCCTGGAGTTAGTGTATCTAGGGACAGGGCAGTGGAAGCACAGCTCAGGAAGACCATCAGCTTACAGCCTGGCCTACCCAACCTTGGTTCTGCTGCTGGTGTGTAACTGGATGGTCCTCATGGATTTTTAAAGTGGGAAAAACTTTGTACAGTGTTCAAAAATAAAGTTGATTTGATACAAACTTTTTGTAAAATAAGATGTTATTAGGTTTTTATCCAAGTTTCATTGGGCATTAAATTTTTTTAAAGTAAAAGTCTTCAAACATTTTGCAAAAATGAATATGTGTATGCACAATGTATATATCAAATAACTATATGCTATTAATATATGTATATAGGTAACGAGTAGTTGAGAATGATAAGCAATGTATGTGCATAGTAAGTAAGAGAGATCAGTTTATTTAGAAAAAGGAAAAAAAAATCTCTATACTTGTGAATGGATGACCTTAGGGGCGGGAAGTTACTTTTACAAATACATTAATAATAATTTAAGAGAATGACATTTTCCCAAAGGTGAATCTGTATTTTCTGATACTAAAATAGGCCTATTAAAATTTCAAATTAAAATCTGAAAATTTTGCAGCTCCTCCATAACAAGTTTATAAACATTGTCTAAAATAATATCCAAGTAATAGAAATACATGAAACTGGTCTACATAATTAAAATGTTGAAAAGTTATGCCCTGCTGTCTGTACAGACACTGTCATCAGAACCAGAGATACATAACCATGTTTTGTTTTGTTTATTGATTTAAATGGTGAAAAGGCATAATAAGCACATCATGTAATAAAAACCACCCCAGTTAATAATTCTTCTTGAGTATAAATTAGTGCCAATGACTTTTAATAATCTAATTAGAGTATGATCACCCACACTATGCCAAGTTCTGTTTCAAGCTTCTTAATGTAGAAACCTCCTTTACAAAGAAATAATTTTGAAAAAGTTTTTTTTCCCTACCACTGCTATCACCAAATGACCCATTTGGTTATAGAAAATAGATTTTAAATGTTAAGCATGCCATTTTTCATTTATTCCATCAAGCTTAAGAAGTATCTGACACTAGCACCTTTTAATGGTTGGTGGAGGAAATCTGTTGACCTCATTTAGCATTAATTCACTACTAGATTTCTCAAATTGGTTAGCATAATAATGTTTACAACATACTAAAAATTCCATCTTCATAGGTAAGTTCAAGACCCCTGCTCTGGAAAACCAGAGTTAATGTACTCTTTAGTTGGTAGCAGAATAATTAGAAATAAAATTCAAATCCCATCAACTGGTCCTGGAAAAGTGCTGATGCCCTTATTTGAGTGTCTGAAAGTAAATGCATAAGCCTTTTGAGCAATAGTCAAATTTTAAAATAGTATACTATAGTCAGAGGAGGGTTTTTCAGCCATTCTAAACAGCCTTTTACGTTCTTCTTACTGACTAAGACCTAGAGAACCTTCTGTTTTCCAGTCTTTGCTTTTACTAAGCTTCATGAGGTAAGTGCTTTGAACTTTAAGAAAAATTTATGATCCTTTTGGGCTGTCCATTTTGCTCTTTTTGCTGATATGCATTCACCTCTGAGGTCACATCTGGAAAAGGAAATGGCCTAACATTGCATCGGTTTCATAGCCTGTAGTTTCTGAACACCAGTAGGGCCCCAGAGTAGACCAGTGTCAGTATGTTGTCTGAGATTGTGTTTTTCCCTAGCTAACTGATAATGAAATGGTCATTTAAGGATAAAACAGTGAAATATTGTTGGGTCGCTAAGTCACGTCCAACTCTTTGTGACCCTATGGACTGAGGGACCCCATGGACTGTAGCCCGCCAGGCTCCTCTGTCCATGGGATTTTCCAGGCAAGAATACTGGAATGGGTTGCCATTTTCTACTTCAGGGGATCTTCCAGACCCAGGGATCAAACCCACATCTCTTATGTCTCCTGCATTGCATGCAGATTCTTTACCACTGTGTCATCTGAGGAAGCCTCAGAAGAATGAGATGACTTTTCTTGTAATTAGAAAACTGCAGATTTCTCCAGGGACTAGAAGGGTTGTCTCTGGCTGTCACTGGAGCCAATCTTCCCACAACCTGCAAATCCTTCCAACACTCACGGCACCCAGTTGGATGTGCCCTCAAGCCTTGCTGCATCTTATTGGGTGCCCCTTGACTTCTGACCCTGCCAGCATGTTCACAGTTTCAACTCATTCTCCCACAGTTAAGCACCTCTCTGCCCATCACCACCAATCATTATAGTGTTCAAACCTTCTCAATAAGAATTCAGTTTCCTGAGCACATCTGCCTAGTTGGCATCAGCACTTTAAACCATGTGACATTCTCTGCCTAATACCTCCTCTCTTTACCCTCTTCTCCCCATCCTTAGCCTTGTAAGCTTGTATGTATCTTTAAAACCTACCTTTTCAAAGAACCCTCCATGATTGCACCAGGCAATGTGTTCCTCAGACTACAGTCCCATAATACTTTGTGTAGACCTCTCATTTCACTCAGAGTGGTTAACAACATACCTATATTCCTTCTAAAGGCAAGAAGTGTGAAGTGTGTCCACATCCTAACATACAGCAGTCACTCGGTAAATGTATGCTCAGTCAATGAATCAATGAACAGTGATTTCTCCTCACACAAAAAATGTAAAGCTGCCTCCCCTGCCCTGGACTGGGGAAAAGAGTAATTTACAAAGTATTTTGTTGTTCACTTGCTAAGGCGTGGTGTGTCTGACTTTGCAACCCTATAGACTGCAGCACACCAGGCCCCTAAGTCCTCCACTATCTTCCCAATTTTGCTCAAATTCATGTCAAGTCAGTGATGCCATCCAACCACCTCATCCTCGGCCACCCCTTCTCTTTTTGCCTTCAGTCTTTCCCAACATCATGGTCTTTTCCAGTGAGTTGGCTCTTTGCATCAGGTGGCCAAAGTTTTGGCCAAAGAGCTTCATGTGTTTCCCTGAAGCAATGCCCATTCTTCCAGGCCACCTCTAGCCCTAAGGCCCATGATCTCCATAAGCCAAGCCAAGCATTCTTTCTTCTGTCTAATCTGGATTCTATCAGCTGAGAAATTCCTGATGAGAAGGGCTGGTTTTTGAGAATGGGAAGGGAACTTTGGCATTTTTGCCAATGTAGGTCTAATTATCTCTTGTAACATATCTTCTTACAAACAGCAGTAAGCTTCTTAGAATTTTTACCTTTAGCAGAAGCTGCCAAACCTTCCAAACATCACACTGACAAACACCTGAGGCAAGAATCCTTGGCCTTTCCTGCCAGTCATGAATATGTAGAGGACTAAACTCTCCCTAAGTGGAGAAGGAAGTGGCAACCCACTCTTGCCTGGAGAATCCCATGGACAGAGGAGCCTGGTGGGCTACAGTCCATGAGATCTCAAAGAGCTGGACATGACTGAGCAATTTACACATGCAGACAAATTCTTCTGAACCTCCAGAATCAAAACTAGGCAGAACATGCTCTCCTGATGAGTATGGTACAACTAACTCCTTGATAAGATCCTCATCAGGGTGGGATCTGATTTAGCATTAGGCTAGTTAAGATCCTCAAGGAAATCTGGGTCCCTATGGGTGTAGAAATGCAAGCAACTGGGGCCACATGTGAACTAGTCCACTGGCACGCATGTTCACATTCATCAGAGGGCTATGTACCTAGTGGCAATGTACCTAGAAGACCACATTACCAGGTTCTAAGAATATCGGAAAAATAATACAAATATTCAATGATTCAGCAGGTGCTTAGTGAAGGTATGCTGTGTCGCTGTGACAGCAGGTCCTCCCTTTCATATATATGGAAGGGGGCTGAGAGATAATTTCCCTATTATTCTGATAACAAAATGAATCTAATAAACTTTTTAAACTTGCGTTTTATTTGTCCAGAAAAATCACTCTTCGTGTTCCCAACCCCCAAGTGAAAGAATAAAGTCTTAGATGAAATTACTCTTACTATATGTCCAAATGGCAGTGGAAAAACCAAATATAGAGCATATTTAGGATGAAGAGATTAGCTTTCATGGAGATGAAATAGTTCCCTTTCCCTAGCCAAGTAGGACTGATGACTCATGATTTCTGTTTGATAAAAGGCCATGGGGAAAAAACAAATAAAGGGGACATTTTTAAGTGAATGTTTTTGTAATTAGAGAAATTGTGGGGAAAGCTAGATGTATTTAGAAGGGGGACAGAAATTTGAAGCACAGTGTCCCTAGTTTTGCTAAGAAAGAGGCACCCTCCCTAAGCTGTTCTCTATTATGAGCTCCTGTCTAGCTTAAGCAAATTAAGAAAGCTTCTAATGTGAACTATATTAATAGAATATAATCATACTTTTACATTCTCATCAAAGATGAGTTTCTTGTGAGTCTGGATATTTAAAATCAGGTGTGGTTTTTTTTGTTGTTTGTCTCTTCATCCTTGGGTAAGGTTGTAGACTTATGGAACTGGGATATCAGCAGGAAATATAGAGTGATAAGAGGCTTATGAACATTTCCCCTAAAACCAAACCAAACAGCCAACCTAACACCATCAAGACATGCTTATTTACCCAACTGGCCTTAATGAGCAAAACAGTGAGGGTGAGGTGATCATGCTAAAGTTGTATTCTAGGACTTGCTTTTGTTCCAAATTATAACTAATAGTAATGCGATCTTTCATGAATGGCTTTATTCACTTAAGCTTAGTGTTTTCAAGGTTTATCCATGGTGTAGCATGTATCAATACTTTCCTCTCTATTATAGCTGAATAATTTCCCACTGTATGTATATGCCAGAGTTTATCTGTTGATGGGTATTTGGGTTGTTTTCATTTTTAGCTGTTATGAATAATTGTGCTGTGACTTTGTTATCGTACTCATTCATCAAAAACAGGGTAGACAACCAATGAATATTTCGTTTTGCTGTTGCCACACATGCAGTATGTGGGTATGAAGTCAGCTGAATGTAAATGTGGGGGTTCATTTCTGGACTTTCAGTTCTCTTCATTGATTTATATGATTATCCTATGCCAACTGGACTTCCCTTGTGGTTCAGACAGTAAAGAATCTACAGTACCACACAATCTTGATCACTATAGCTTTATAGACATTTTCAAAATCAGGAATGTGAGTCTTCTGAATTGGTTTTTCTTTTTCAAGATTGTTTTGGATATTGTTGTTTTCTTAAATGTACATGTGACTTTTAGGGTAAGGCTATCAATTTCTGCAAAAATGATAGAATTTTGATAGGGATTGAATTTATATAGATCAATTAGGGAGTATTGCCATTTTAATAAAATTAAATCTTCCAATCTGTGAGCACAGAGTGTCTTTCCACATATTTAGATCTTCTTTGACATCTTCCAACACAGTCACCCTGGGATGACGTTGGTATTAGCAGGGTCCTCTTTGGATCTATCTGTTAAGCTGTCTGCCTCTTCTGGTGTTATATCCAGCTATTAGGTTCCACTGTCTTCTGATTACTCTCTCTCTCTCTTTTTTTTTTTTTTTACAATGCCCTGGGCATAAATATCTCCATTGTCTGACCCAATTTCATTGGGTCCTTTAGCAAGAGTATTTTTTGAGGCAGGTCATTGAGATTTGTTCTGTTCCCCAGAGGTCTTTTCATAGTTGTCTCTTTTTCTGATTCTGTCTAGTAAACTAGTTGACCTGTGGTTTAGCTCATTGTTCTCATGGAACTACCAACCTTTTCTCAACTGCCTAACACCAACATCTTTGTTGTTTTCAAGAATATTTCAGGCTTTAAGTTTCTCACACTCTGTTCTAAGTGAGGAAGGAGCTTCAGGACTCTCCGTTCTTATGGTCTGCTGCATCCCCTGGTTAAAATTTCCCCGAGCCACTGTTTCATTGCTTAGGCAGAGAGTGTGGCCTGTTTCCCTCAAGAGTAACATCCTGATTTTTATGAGCTGAGTGCTGGGTGGGGATGATAGCTTTGGGTCTTCTCAGTTGACTACTTTCAGTGGGGAACCTCTACCCTATGAATGAGCTGGGGCTAAGGCAATCAAAGCTCCCTATTCTTCCCTGCCACACTTAGAATTGATTGTCTGCCCCTAGAGAAGAATCTCAGTAAAGGAAGAAATTCCTTGACCTTCAGTGGCACTCACCTTGAAGGCATTGTGGACAAAAAATATCATCTGTATCAATAAACAAAGGATGTTACAGCCACCACGCCAGCAGCCACTGCAGCTGACTGTGCACCCAGAGGGGATTCAGGATGGAGAAAAACAGGATACTGGCCCTAGATAGTCAAGGTGCATATCAGTGGAATGATTTCAAGGAGCCCAGATTCTCACATCTTCCCATATATAGAAACGTGCTAAATTTACTCAACAGACTCAACATAGGTGTCTGTTTCTATTTAACTTGCTAATCTTTTGATGGTTTGACTTCCAGGGGTTTTTATTTGTTTGTTTTGTTTTGCAGAAACTCCTATATATCCTGGCTCCTCCCTTACCCCTTCAGAGCAGTCCCTCAGTGCCTCCTGGGCTTAAGGCCTCTTGTCTGCTGAATAAAACAGAACTTCCAATGTTTAGTTTGTGTATTTTTTTTTTTTTCAGTCAACAGTAGCCTCTGTTGTATAGAACTTTGCCAAGAATAAGAAATGCTGGTGACCTGGCCCTTCCAAGGAGATAATGGTACCCTTAACAGAGCAGGAGCATCCTCATCTTCTTGACCACACCCAGCTTGAAGGGACCTTCCATCACACTAAGCTGGGGGGGTCACAAAGAGTCACATTGAGCAATCAACACTTTCACAAGCTGCAGGAGTGGGGAAGGGGTAAGCCATGGCCCAGATGTTGTTAGCAAGATATAATAGATTTTCTTACATAATGTTTCTTCATTTGCTGTGTTCCTTTAGGAAGATTTTCAGAGTGTTTTTTAAAATTAATTTTACCAGTTATGTTGTGTTGCTGGAGAATGGGTTTGCAGAGCTCCTCCTGCTGCCATTCCCAAGGTAAATCCCTGCTCCTTATCTTTCTGATCAACAAATAAATGCACTCATAGCCACCTTCCTTCAGGATAACCTACTTAGCAACTTTGTGCTACAGCATTTTTTTCTAACCATAGGATGACATATTTCTGGCCCTGAGGACTAAACCGCATGCTATTTTGAAACACTGTTTTCTTCTTTCCTATTAAACATCATTTACCTAAATCTCTTTTTTTCTCCAAGAATTTTGTTTACTTTCTTTTCACATCCTACCCAGGATAATATTCTGATTCATAACTCTTCTTGCATTCAATGCTCCACAGTCAAACCCAACAGACCAACCTCAATGCAACAACCTGCCACCACTTTTATATTCGGTTTGTAATACTCTGAATGGCTCTTGTGTATTTAATTCAGGAAAATTATTCTCTTTTTTCTTATGCTTCTTTTAAAATTAAATTTTTGAGCGGTTTCAGGTTTATATGAAAATTGAGCAGGAAGAGCAGAGCTCCCCCATATAGCTCCACACTGCTGCCTACTCTGCCCTTCTTATTAATGTCTTATATTCATGTGGTACATTTGTTACAATTGATGAACCAATGTTGATACATTATTTTAATTAGTCTTTTGTTTAGAGCAGGGTTCATTCTTTCTTTATACACACTATAGATTTTGACTAATGTATAGTAACATGTACCCACATAAAGAGTATCATAATATTGCGTTGGCAAAAAGGTTCGGTCAGGTTTTCCCATAACATTTTACAGCAGCACCTATTTTATGAAACTCCTTTAGTTATTTATGATCAACTCTTAAAACTAGGTGGTAGTGGTTTAGTCGCTACATCATGCCTGACTCTTGTGATCTCATGGACTGTAGCCCGCTAGGCAGTTCTGTCCATGTGATTCTCCAGGCAAGAATTTCTCCAGGCCAGAATACTGGAGTGGTTTGCCATTTCCTTCTCGGGGGATCTTCCCAGCCCAGGGATTGAACCTGGGTCTCCTATACGCAGGCAGATTTTTTACCAGCTGAGCTACCAGGGAAGCCTCTTAGAAGCAGGTACTCACTCCTTTATTAGTCCATCCTCAGAAACTTCTCTTCTTCTGTACAGAAACTGATGTCCTAGGAAAGTCATCCTGCTTCCATTTTTCTCATCTATCTTGTGTCAGCATCACTGTGTAAAGATCACGACACAGCCAGCTCCTGCCTGTGCTATTTGAGCCTACAGGCAACAGGACCCAAAGTCAGCCCTGTACTCCTGCTTGATGTCTCCCGCTGCGTGAGACTTCTCCCCAGTCTCCATCCCAGACTTGTGCATTTCCCATCCTCTCTTTCCATGAACATTGTCAGGAACTTCTCAAGAGTTTCTAATTCGCTGCATCTTCCCAACACTTACCTCTAGAGCAAAAGAGATGGCATAAAGAGGGGAGAAGGAATCACCTTTCTGTCATTGTGGGAATGAGGGGCAAGAAGAAAGGAGAGATTCTGCCCCAGAGGTCACAAGTATAATTGCAATTTCCAGCCCACTTTAAAGGAGAAGTCATGCAAACTAGGGAACAATGGAAAGGAAGACTTTGGAATCAAAAGACTGGAATCTGAAGTTCAAACCCACTACAAATCAGCATGAATTTGTCTTGGCTTCAGATTTTGAGCCTGAAAATTTGTTCAGTACCTCTTGCCCACTAGATTATTGCCTGGATCGCATGATGTGTTATGTATGAAAATACTGTATAAAGTGTTTAAGTGTATAAGTGTATAAATACTTATATAAATATATATATAAGTATATATATACATATATACTGTATAAGTATATACAGTATAAATAAATACTGTATAAGTATATACAGTATAAATAAATACTGTATAAGTATATACAGTATAAATAAATACTGTATAAGGGTATAAAGAAAGTCTCATTTCTAAAAAGGATATTGATGGTTTCATTTGTAATAATTATATTTAGTCATAAAATTTAGGGGAATTCAGGAAATTACACAAAGGAGAAAACAAAAATCACCTATAATTGTACCACCAAGACATAATTACTGTTAGTTATCTCTATTAACATGAAAACCTATTACTACTTTCTACTAATCTACTAGTAATCATGTATTTATATTTAACATTGTCAGGACTATGCCCTGTTTATAGCTTATGTCCTTGTGTGGCAGATTGTATTTTCCAAAAGCGGCTACCACATATCTTCTGGTGCCAAAACCTTGCCTCTGCATCAACACACTGAGTCTTATTCTCCCTCCATGTTTAATTGTCTGGGGCTTGCAACTGCCTTGATCAATAGAAAGTAGTGAAAAGATGTTGCATGGCTTCTAGGGCTAGGTCATAAAAGATGAGAGAGCTTCTGCCCGGCTCTCATTTTTAGGACCTTGGCCCTTGGAAACCCAGAGGTGTTCTGACTGATGTCATTAATTGCTGGATATGTAAGTGACTTGGAATAGGAAATGACAACCCACTCCAGTATTCTTGCCTGGAAACCATAGACAGAGGAACCTGGTGGGCTATAGTCCATGGGCCCATGAGTTTGCAAAGAGTCCAACACACCAAGTGACTGAGCAAGTACATAAATCAACCTTCAGATGATTGCAGTGTTTGAGCTGCTATGTGAAAGTGAAGTGAAGTCGCTCAGTCGTGTCCGACTCTTTGCGACCCTGTGAACTGTAGCCGACCATGCTCCTCCATCCATGGGATTTTCCAGGCAAGAGTACTGGAGTGGGTTGCCATTTCCTTCTGATGCCAAATGGAGTAGAGAAAAGATGTCCCCAATGAGCCCTGCCCAAATTACAGATTCACATGCAAAATACATATTGTCATGATTTACTTCACTTAAATTTCACAGGTACATTTTCCCATGTCTAACAATTTTTACATCAACTTAATATGGCTAAATGACACTCCATTCTGTTGATATTATATAATTTATTAAAACCCTTCTATATTGTTGCTTTGGAGAAGGGCGTGGCAACCCACTCCAGTATTCTTGCCTGGAGAATCCCATGGAAAGAGGGGTCAACCAGGGATTGAACCTGTGTCCCCTGCTATGGAAGCACAGTGCTCTAACCACTGGACTGCCAAGGAATTCCCTTCTCATTGACTTTGGAATCACAGAGTGAGGATAAGATATTTTTATTTTTTTGGAGACTGATTCTTGCTGTGACAGGTGGTTGTTCTCATCTTTGATCGCCCCTGACCGGCTTGTGCCCAAGGAGAAATTTGTTTTTAGTAAGGTGATGCACTCACCACCTATGGTAGGCTGAATGTGGCCCCCATGTGGATGTCCATATCTTAATCCCTGGAACCTCTGAACATTTCCTAGTGTGATAAAATAGTATTTGAAGGTATAATTCAGTTGAGGCTTTTGACATGGGAAGATATTGTGATTATCCAGATGGATATGAAATGCAATCACAAGCATTCTTACATGTGAGAAGCCAAGGGGTTATTTAACATAGACAGAAGAATGGGAGGCAGTGTGACCATGAAGGCAAAAACTGGGGTGATGCAGCCACAAGCCAAGGGATGCTAGTAGCCACCAGGAGCTGGAAGGAGCAAGGGATGGCAGCCTCTGAAGGGACAGTAGCTCTGCTAACACCGCAGTCCTGGCCCAATGAAACTGACTTTGGACTTCTGGTCTCCCTCACAGTGAGAGAGTAAATTACTGTTGCTTTAAGTCACCGAATAGATACTCCATTTGCCTGCTGCATAGGAAATAAATGAGACATCATACAAAGGAGTTCATTTTAATGCTCCGAATGCTCTTCCTCAAATATTTTCCTAGAGTAGGTGCAGTAAACAGGCACAAAATACATTAGAGATCTTTGGAGTTTTTGTTTTATTTACCTGTGTGTGGGAAAATTTAAGTATTAAGCATTCCCTGTCCTGTGGAGAGTAAGAAAGCAAAGATTCTCACACTTGAGTTATTTATATCTTAAGTTCGACACACACATACACACAAACAGATTCCTGTACTTCCTCAAAGTCTACCTTAAGGTACACACTTTGAAATATGTCAGAATTCAGAGCACATAAACATGAAAGTGTGGTTTGAATCCTCTCCCTTTGGAGATATAATTGCAGTGCTGGAACGGAAAATAACAAGGAGTCACAGACAATAGGGCCCCAAAGATCTCAGAGAAATAGGTTAATCTCATGTGGATCCTAGCATGTCATAAAACATCAGTGTACACTAGCTCCTCTTTCCCTTCCTTGGTTAAAAATGTCCCTTTATTGTCAAGGTCTAAAAAAAGGCAAGACATAACGAATGAATCTGCAGTGATGTTTGAAAAATAGGCCTTGACACATTTGGAACATACCCACTGTTAAAAATCTGCTGGCTGAGAGAAGCTGATTAGAACCCCTGATGACCCGTGGGGAGTCCCGTCCAGGTGCCTCTTACCTGCTGCTTATCAGCCCTGCCTGGGGCAGCACGGACTGAGCATCCATCCAGTTGCCTCTCATCTCCACGTAAATACCAGACCAGAAGGCACCGCTGCTGTTGACACAAACATGAAGAGAAGGTCAGGCTGGCTGGAAAATATGACTCGGCCTCTTTTTCTCTTCCTAAGCATTGGACTTTAGTTGGGCATCCCCAGTGATGAATGCTTCATCCTTTTCTTCAAATGCCTTGACTTTGGTGATTTTTGTGTATCTCTTCATCTGGAATCAGGGATGATCCCCTCTACATACTCTCCCCTGAACCTCAGAACCAAGAGACACTTAAAATGACCACCTCTGTTCATACACAGATTTAAAATGGAAAGGACAAGTATCTTTTGATACTGATTTCTAACATAATTCCAGAGTGATAAGAGAATCGACATAATTATCTGATTTCAATATCTTTAGATCATGAAATTTTTGCACCTTCTTTTATGTCCCTGGATATGTTCCAGTGTCTCCTGGTTTATAGTCTATGGGAGCTTGGATAGAATTTGTACCCTACTGTGGGGTGAAAATTGTATAAATCTTAATCATGCTGAATTGGTTCTGAGTGCTTTTCAAGTCTACTATATCCTTGTACTTTTCTGTCTATTCATTCTATTAATTTTTGAGAGCTTGATAGTGAAACTTCAACTTAAAAATCATAATTTATCTGCTTAAAAATAATTGTAATGTATAGTGGAGCTATAAATATAAAAAAATAAATAAAATTGAAAGGACAATTCTAACGTTCACCACTGACCAAAGATTCTGCATTCCATTTCCACATGGTGCACTTTAAATATATTTACCATTCACATTTTCTTCCTGAGGGTAAGGAAAAAAAACTTGCCAGATTTCATTTAGCATGTCACATTTTTTATACTACAGTGTATTCTGAAATAAATCATTAATGTATTTATAAATAATAAAGCACAGGAAAAGTTTTCTAGGAATGAAATAATTCAAAATGGAGCAATGGATGCTGTAAGCCATAGACAAAGAAGCCATGATCCATGAAGTGGAGAGAGAAACTCTCATGAGGGGAAAAGTGATTCATACATGTATTCATTCATTTAACAAAATAGCTGTTAGTTCTCATACTATGACAGCATTGTGTAATATTCTAGAAATTCAGTAAGACAGATTTATATCTGCTCTTAAGGAATTTGAAGTCCAATTATTAAAGACTGGTAGGAGAGACAGACTTGGTGCTATGATAGGGTTCAGCAGGAAAGCATCTAACCCAAACTTGATGGGCAGCCAGGTTTTACAGAGGAAATTATATCTTCTTTGGAATTTTAGAGGCTGAAACTAGCAAAAGCAGTACTTTGGAGGTAGAAGAGAATTTAAAGCATTAAAATACCTGAAATTGAATCACAGTGGCTGAGACATGAGGCTCTGAAGGTAAAAAGAGGCCTCTTCATATGCATCTTGTAAGACACAAAATGTATTAAATGATGTTCAGCTGTTTAGTGATGTGGTCTGATTTACACTTTAGGAAAAGGTCTCTGTCTACAATGCATGAGACAGCTGTTTGGAGCAATTGTAGCAAGAGGTCATGGTAGCATAGGGAATGGTAATGATGGTGAGGAAAGAGACAAGTGGATGATACAAGAGATATTTATGAGATAAATTTGTTGGCCTTGCAATTGAGTAGGCATGGGTGAAAAAGGAGAAGGGTAAATTAAGGTTTTCTAGACTTTACCAAATGATTGGTGAAGTTAACAAAACTGTTTCAGACAAGTTAATTGGAGATGGTAAAGAATCTGCCTGCAGTGCAAAAGATCTGAATTAAATCCCTGGGTTGGGAAGAGTCAGGAAGATCCCCTGGAGAGGGAAATGGCTACCCACTCCAGTATTCTGGCCTGGAGAATTCTAGGGACAGAGAAGCCTGGCGGGCTACAGTCCATGAGATGGCAAAGAGTTGGACAGGACTGAGTGACTTTCACTTCACCTCAAGGTATGTTCAAAGGAAGATATTCAGTCCAGAGTTGGATAAACTAGCTATTTCAGGAGAGAGATTTTATAGATTCAGAGGTTGGTTAGCATGCAGTTGATAGCTAAAGACTTTGAAGTCAAAAAGATTGCCCAGGGAACTTTATATGTTTATGAAGAGATGACCTCCTGGAGCAAAACTCTGAGAACTATGTTATTTTAAGAAATGAGGAGAAGAAAATCCTGCAAAGGAGACTGGACAGTGGGAGGAAAAACTGGGAGATTGTGTATTATGGAAACCAAAATAAAAGACTATTTACAAATACAGTGTGGTCATAAGTGTTGAATGTTTCCTTGTTCAGTACTGAGTGCATTTAATACCCAGGGTTGAGTCTTTCTTCTATATGGTGAAATTATTTTCAGTCATCATCATGTCAGAATCAATAACTATCTTCATTTTCTTGATTTGTAATTTTTAAAAGAGCACCATTTTAAAAAAATGAACTTGTCTTAAAGATACTATGCAAACTCAGTCAACTATTTCATGTATGATTTAAAATTTGTACCTACCAAGAAAGTAAATAGTATGTCAGAGTATATAGTCTGCTTTGCCATTTTCAATTTTAAACACAAATAACAACTCTTAACCTGTAGAACATAACGATGACAGAATTAACTCAATTTCTGTTTCTTTGTCATTGCAGTCTCTCTGCTGTCATCATTTATTTTTAATCTACAAATTCAAAACATGGGAATATGTGTACTATAGGGTTGGAGACACAATGAACAAAGCAACCTTGAATGATTCTGAATCGTTATGGATTCACTCTTGAGTCCACATTGTGTCTGGGGTGAATGGTTTACTTGTGGATGCTGAAATTCACATTCAGATAGAATATGATACTTGGTAAAGATAAGTAAGAAAGATATGCTTATTTTAGTTGTGCCTACAAATATACATAAAATATACTATAACAGACATATGATAATATGTATAGTATTAAAATGTGAGCATAGATCTTAGATCAATAAAAGAGCTTTGGGGGGAGTGTTTCTTCTTTTTTTTAAAAACTAAAAAAAATTTTTTAATGTAAATTGAAGTATAGTTGATTCACAATGTTGTGTTAATTTTAGGTATACAAAGCTATACATGTATACACATATGGGTTTCCCTAGTGGTTCAGCCGTAAAGAATTTGCCTGCAATGCAGGAGTCACAGGAAACATGAGTTCGGCCCCTGGGTCAGGAAGATGCCCTGGAGGAGGACACAGACACCTACTCTAGTATTCTTGCCTGGAGAATCCCTTGGACAGAGGAGCATGATAGGGCTAGAGTCCAAGGGGTCACAGAGTTGGACACATCTGAAGTGACTTAGCATACACATATATATACACATATCTATTCTTTTTCAGATTATTTTCCATTGGAATATTACAAGATACTGGATATCATAAGATGGTTAATATAATTTCCTGTGCTGTAAAGTAGTGGGAGAAGTTTTGTTGATCAATTGCAATAATAAAAAATGACCAAACTTTGCATTTTGGGGCTTCCCTGGTGGTTCAGGCGGTAAAGAATCTGCCTGTAATGAGGGAGACCCAGGTTCAGTCCCTGGGTCAGGAAGAGACCCTGAAGAAGGAAATGGCTACTCATGCCAGTATTCTTGCCTGGAGAACCGCATGGACAGAGGAACCTGGCAGGCTACAGTCCATAGGGCTGCAAAGAGTCGGACACGACTAAAGTGACTTAGCACACAAACTTGTTAGTTCTTATTATTGCTTCTAAATTGTTTACAGAAAATGCACCTACTTATTGCCTGTACTCAATCAACTTTAATTTTCCAGCCTTTGGTGCACTACTGAAGACAGCGAGTAAAGTGAGGCCTAAGAGTGACTTACATATTCAGCCATAAGAAGGTCCTGAGTAACTATGACAACTGTTCTTTCAGAGGAGTGGTGGGGATGAGGCCATATCACATTGGCTTGAGAAACCAGTAGGTAGAAAAGCGGTTTGGACAGTGACCTGTCTTTATAGTCTCGTTTCCTCAAACTCCCTGGT